TATTAATTATATTTTCCAAGTATTCAAAAAATATCTCCTCAACTTTTCAGCTTAGCAGCCTTCAAACGAAACCATCCTAAAACTTTTGGGTTCACATTTTTGTTCCACTGGACTTTGGAAATGTAAATTGAATAAATTTGAAAACAAGAAGGAATATAATAACCCGTTCCCGTGAAATAAGTAATTATGGAATTTTTTCATGACAATATGAGATTAATTAGATAAGAAATCTAATTATGTAATATAAGTCATTTTTCAGATAAAAGTATAATTAGGGTGAATTTTCGGTAAAAAGTCAGTATTTCATAAATTACCGAAAATTTGAAAATTAGTTAGTAAGAGACTACCTCATGAGAATAGTTAATGTTAAAATTCATAATAAATGAGTAAATTTACGGATTATATGTAGGTCACACATTTTATGATATTAAGTCATAGCTAGTTTATATGAGTAAAACAAGGTAAGATAATAAGCTATCTTGTTTAAACTAATTACCAAAGTCAATAGATGACTTAAGGGAGCGTTTGGTAGGAGAGAAATTTTATTTTATCCGAAAATCATGATTTTCGAAAATATAGTTGGAAATTAATTTTTTCGGAAAAGTTACGAAAAAGCTGTTTGGTAGGCCCAATTTTTTTTGGGATTATTTGGTTAAGTTTACTGAGTTTGTGTTTGGTTGATTGTGAAATATTAGTGGGAACGTGAACTAACCGAATTTTCAAAATTAACCTTTCATCATTTTTGTCTTTCAACCTCCCCTTATCAGCTCTCTCTCTCCATTTCAATCTCGTTTTTGTCTCTTTCCATCGTTTTTGTCTTTCATCATCTCTTATCATCGTTCCCTTACCACAAAAGAAAGCCAAGTTTCAGCATAAAAGCAAATCCATTTTCAGAAAAGCAACGAGCAAATCGATGAGCAAAGCTTAGTGAGAAAATCAACGAGCAAAATGAAGCCAAGCTTCAGGGAGCTATTCGATTTTCTGAGTCACAAAGCAAAGTTAGGACATTTTATGTGGGGGTATTTTGGTCCAGAATTTCATGTTTCTTCCCCGGGGAAGGAAGAATTCTAACTAATGTGTGGTATTTTTTGGTTGGTAAAAATTGTAACTTTTGTTATCAAAAAAAAAAAAAAAATTGTAACTTTTACACAACAGGAGAAAATTCAGGCATAAAGCTTGTCCGGAAATTTTTTTTGTTTTTGGCCTACCAAACGTTGCCTTTTAATTTATCCAATCTGACTTTCCCAAGTTTTTAAAAATAAACCCGGTACCAAACACGTCCTAAGAAAATTAAGTCCCCTCACTTAGTGATTACTTTCCCACACAATAAGCCTCTTCTTCTTCATACCAACGAGGGAAGCCATTGGAGAGTGGAGAGAAATTTCTAAGAAAACCTAGTTCTCTCATTTCTTGGCCAAATCAAACAATTTCAAAGCCAAAACCACTTCAAATCTCGTCCTCTTCATAGTCCACATCTCATTTTCGTGTAAGGAAGGTTGTGGAATGAGATATTGCACCTCTTCCATTTCGAGTTAGTGAAGGGTTTTGGCGATTTTTGGCGTTTTGAGTGCATTAGAGCTTGGAGTCTCCTTCCTCTTGCATTCTAGGATGATTCATGATAAGTGTCCACCATCCACCTCAAGTTTTCGTGGAATTTTATGAATCTTAGGTTTCACATGAATAGTAACTCAAAATTTTGATGGTTGGGTGTGTTAGAAGATGATTTGGGTATGATATCCTTTGTTAATTATGCTTAGAAATGCTTCTTGTGAGAGGACAAGAGAAATCACCATACACTTTGATAATTTAGTCATGAAAAAATGTTGAAATCTTAAGCATTGTGAGGTTGATGAATAGGACATGTATTATAATAACATGCACCATTAAATTGAATAATTAAGAATCTTCCATAATTAAGAGAGATTAATTAGATAAGAAACCTAATTATTCAACAGGTTGTTCCTGTAGTGGAAATGACATTCAACAAGTTGTTCCTGGAGTGGAAGAATCCTCTAAAGACCCCTGGTTTACTGAGATGTTTATCTCACCCTGTGTTGTGGGGACCCCCTTTCACGTACGGAGGGTGTAGGAGCATTCATTGTTAGGAGGCAACAATAGACCTAGATTGATGCAAGCTACTGTTGTTATTTTTGAGATGCATATATATATATATATATATATATATATATATATATATATATATATATATATATATAGGTAGGATCCTTTAACACCGGTGTCAAATTTGAAGTTTGACACCTCACCTGAGAGCCGTTAGATCAAAAAAAGATCAACGACTCTGATTTGTAAGCATATGATACCATTGATCTTTTTGATCTAATGGCTTTTATATGAGGTGTCAAATTTTAAATTTGACACCGGTGTCAAAGGATCTTGCCTCATATATATATATATATATGGTCAGGATCATTTTATACCAGTGTAAGTTACACTCTTAATCTTGTCATTTGATCCCACTTATATCTAAGGGCTCTAATTTTTTAGTAATGTGAGCCATTGGATACAAGTGAATCAATGGTCAATATTGAGTGTAAAACTTCTAACTCTTACACTGGTGTAAGAATATCCTCCTCCATATATATATATATATATATATATATATATATATATTGTGGAATTAGATGGTTAATAGTAGACTGGAAAGGAAAAGCATGTATCCATCGTTTGGAGTAGGAACTCAAACCACTCTAACCAATGCTGCATCAAATTTTCATACCCTGTGGAATTCTAATATATACCATTAACTAGAATAATCATGTTCATCACAAATTCAGCATATACTATTTCAAAAATTTACTTGTATAACATAAAAACATGGTAGGAGAGTCCCATCCAGATATATTGGCAGCTTCGGTGAGAGCATCTTTCCACTAAAGTACTTTTTCTTGGTGTGACCAGCTTCCCATCTAGATATATTTCCAGAGATCTCATACGTTTTGCAAATATATTGTTATAAAATTAAGGATTTAATGTTTATCATGTTGTAGAAGATAAATTTATCTCCTTCGCACATATAAAAGTATGTGAGACTTGTACTTTTTTATCTCTCTTTTCTTCACATGGGTCTCACACACTTTTATATGTGTATAAAAGATAATTTTATTTTCTATAACATGAGAAACATTAATCTCTAAAATTAATCTCTCATGTTTCACAAATCCTGTCTGGTGCCATACATCTGATGGATCTATTTTATAAAACACAGGTATAATTACCTGTCCATATTGTTTTCCGCACTCAGTATTTTGAGTTCTTTCAAGCACCATGTTGAGAAAACATAGATTTTTTAGAACACAGGTATGTAAGTCCTGTATTGCTTATCCAAGTGCAGGCTTGCCTCATCTCCCTTTTTAAGATAATAATCAATGAATGTTTCGATTTTGTTCTGGCAGAGAGCACTACGAAGATGGCTAGTGAAATTGGTTCGTGTATCTTCACCTCTGAAACTAATGAATACATCGTACTTTTTGGGAGTAGGACACATTCTGCGAGTGCAAAGGACCGACACAATTTCCTTCCTCTGATGGCTTGGAATTTATATAGAAGAAAACAGAACAGGAGTGGTTGCGTTATATCATATGCGCATCTTATGGGTTAACGCGATCTCAGGCATTGATCAATAACAAACATCAGATAAAACAATGCCCAAAATATGATTGGGACCCCTTCGATTTTGAATGGAGTTGTTGCGAAATTTTTAATATATTACCGTAGTACCTATATCCATCTAATAAAAATACAACACCTATACTAACATATTTCCTAAAATTTACGGATCCGCCCACAGCATTATGTATTTGACCCTAATTTATTAGGTCCTTTTATTCTAGGATTTTTTCTGAACCCTAACCCCAAAAATTAAGGCTTATCCGCAAGTCAATTTTTTTATCAGAATTTTCATATTTAAAAAATAATAAATTTAAATATTTATAGATATAAATTAAATTATAAACATAATATGATAATAAAAATATACTTTTAGATATATAAATCTATAGAATACATACATATAATAAAAATATTTTAATGAATAGTATCAGTGAATAATATTTTACCTAAATATATTTTAATTCTATTATGAATTTGACCTATATATTTGCATTTCCTTTCTTATATAATCAAAGAGAATGGAAAAGTTGGTGAAGGAACATGGTGCATAAAATTGGTCTAAACTTGCCGAGAAATTGGATGGAAGGGACGCAAGGCAGTGTCAAGATAGATGACTTTATCATCTGCTGGTATCAAAGTTTGTTACTCTTAGTCCTTCTTAATGAGCGCTAATTTATATTCATGCATGATTGATATATATACACTTATTATATGTCCTCGTTTGAAAAATCCCTTGTCCCTTGGGTTGATTGCAAGATCAATTCAAATATTTTCTCTACAAAGTTTAGAGCAATCAAATTGAAACAAGTAATTAGGGTTTAACAAAGATTTTTCAAGATATTGTGAGCATAAACAAATAGATTCACATTGTCAACAATCTATCTTTGCTATCTGCACGTTAATCATTGCAGATATTGCATGCATATCTTTATATTGATAGCATGAGGACTCGACCGTGATTTTTGGAGGAAAATAAGAAATTGTGACATGAAGCAAGATCTGAATTGTAAAATAGTAAACATGTAATGACTAATTAGGAATACATTAGGAAATTTAGATGCTAACTATTTAGAATATCAACATCAGCAATACCTCTATCCCAAACTAATTGGGGTCGGTCTAGAGAAACCCAAATAAAAGATACGAAGGGATTGAAAAAAGGTAAAAATGAAATTTAAGTATATATATATATATATATATATATATATATATATATAAGTAAACAATTGAAACCCAAATTAGGAATACATTAGGGAAAGCTAAACCCAAATATATATATATATATATATATATATATATATATATATATATATATATAAAGAGGTAAACAATTGAAAGGGAATGCTAACAATTCATAAGATATCGATAGGAAATATAAGAGGAATGATTAACATGCACATAGCAAAGATAGATCATTGACAATCTGAGTATATTTGTTTATGCTCTCACAATATCTTGGAAAATCTTTGTTAACCCCTAATTACTTGTTACAATTCGATTGCTGTAAACTTTGTAGAGAAAATATTTAAATTGATCTTGCAATCAACCCAAGGGACAGGGGATTTTTTAAACGGTGACATATAATAAGTGTATATATATCAAATGTGCATGAACATAAATTAGCACCCATTGAGAAGGACTAAGAGTAACAAACCTTGATACCAGGTTGCAGATGATAAAGCCATCTCTCTCGACACTGCTTCCATCCAATTTCTCAACAAGTTTAGACCAATTTTGTGTACCATGTTCCTTCACCAACTTTTCCAGTTCACTTTGATTATACACTTTTACATTTCCAATGAAGTGAATAGTATCAATGATTGTGACTAAATAAAAAGATCTCCGTGTTTTCCAGTCTTCAATCATCAGATGGACCAAGAGTTTTCTTTAGAATGCTGAAAGTTTCATCATCCTTCGACCAAAAATAATCAGTAAGAAATGCTTGTACCTATGTGAGTACATGAGCGTGTGAATCTGAGAGAGACAAGGTCAGAATGCTGCTGAAAATCTAGATCATGCTGCTTAGTATACCTGTTTCTTCTTTTTCAATGACTCTTCCAGTTGAGCAATTTTATCATTGCAGGTTTTTTCTTGTTCAGATATGATGACTCTTTCCTTCTTCCCTGAAATATTCATAATGTTGTAAAGATAAGGCTATAGCAAAATAAAATCATTGAATTCGGGTTGCAGTTTTTATATATCCATAAAGACGGATTAAATCGAATAGCTTACTCAGTTGTTCATATCTCATGAATAGCTTTTCCTTTTCCTCTTCAAATTTAGAGACAATATCTATCAATGGGCAGCACTAATTAGCATCTAACCAGCAAAGAGTACAATTATATCACAGAAAACAGATTAATTACCACTATATATTTCAAATGTAGCACTTTATTTCATAGGATTACTAGTTACTACTATATATTTCAGCTGCTGTCAAAAAATCATATTAAGATAACACCAGTAATCCATCAATGAAAATGTTACAAGGAGTACCTTCCAAGGCCTGCAGAGAAGTGGCTTTCTCCTTGGAAAATTTCTCATAAAGTGCTTGAAACTTGACAGATTCATTTTTGAACGAAATTTCACACTGCATGTTTGTAATCCCAAATTAGTAATTAACCAAGTTTTGGGTAACACTTAACTCTCTTCCTATTTATGACTCAGTTATCCATATCATACGTAAAACATTTTGTCATCTACAGACCTCTTTGGAACTCTTTGAAAGCGCCTTAGCAAAACTTTGCCTGACATTGGAAGAACAATCTACTTTTTAATACAGTGAATTAATAAAAAAAAAGGGACGTGCAGGATGCTATAGCACATTCTAAACTTGGGATTTGGACTTCAAATGTACCTGTCCTTCTCAAATTGGGACCTAAATTCATGAGTATATGCTCAAGTGTTGGTGTTTGAGCACAGTGGCCTTATCTCACAATCAGTCCTTCATGCCCGCACCAAGCATATGGAACTTGATATATTCTTTGTTCGTGAAAGGGTTCTAGCAAAAGAATTGATTGTCTCTCATGTTCCCTCTCAAGACCAAGTTGCGGATAGTCTCACTAAGGCTCTTCCATCTACCAGATTTTTTGAGTTGAGACACAAACTCAGAGTTTTGGATACTGCCCAAAATCTCTGAGTTTGAGGGGGTGTATTAGGAGTATATAGAATATTGCTCCTTAGCTTAGTTTAATTGTGTTGATGTACTGTTGATAGCCTACACCTGATGTATGTGATTATCTCTCTCTTTAATATTCTGTTAGACGTTACGTTTCCGTTACTGTTAGTAACGGTCTGTTAATTAGTCACTGAGTATAAATAGTAGTTCTCTGTAATCTCTCAATAATAAATTCCTAATCTCAAGATCTAGAATATTCTCAATGGCTTTTTCTCTCTTCTCTCTCTTCCTTTCTCTGAACGCTATTATTGGCTAAATTATTTTGTTTATTCCTAAGCATATGAGAAAGCTAAAAAGTATTTCTTTATGCTAGAGATATAAAATACTAGAATTAGTGAAATGATGAGATCCTTCCAATAGACCAACACACTTGTCAAAGAAAAACAGGACAGTGGAAGCCACATCTGAACGAGCAGATTCATGGTTACATAGGAATTTACTATGAAAAAAGACAATGTCAATCAATACCTGCAAAACTTTCTTTCCATGATATGGTACATACGTCCAGCTGCATAAAGCCTCCTTGGATCCCTAAGCTTTCTACCCTCAGGTATGAAGGTATCCCTCAGGCAAACCAAGAATATTAAGCAAGGCAAGCTGTTCAAATCATCAAGGCCTGGTTTAAGAAACTGCAATGATAATTTACTCAACTCATTCAACATAAAATAATTACACACACACACACACTGGAAACATGATGGTGATGCCCTTATTGCCATACTACAGAAAAGCGAGAACTAACCAGAAGATTGATTCGAATATATCTTCCAAGGGAGTTGCAGACTTGCAGTTCTTGGTAAGAAATCATCCTTCACAAAAATTGAAGCATATAATTTGGACCAGCACCATCAGCAAAACAACAAAAAAGGGGAGGAAACGACAAATACCCTCTGGTCAAATTGATTAAAGATCTCATACCACAGATATTATAACAACCAATGAAACAAGAGAAAACATGAAAACAATAAAAACAGAGAGAAGCAAGCAAAATTGTACTAGTTAACAATGACAAGTTCACCTACAGCACAACGGAATGTACAGTATCAGCATATTTGACAGCCAAATTGAGGGACATGCACCTTGCAGGTGCAATTGTGTAACACCGAATCAAATCCCTGGATATCCCTCCCAAATGTTCCCTATGATTCAAAACGAGTATGGTCAACAAGGACACCACACCCGAACCCAAAGAATGACCACAAAACAGAGAGAAGCACTAGCACCTAAAGTCTTTTAGGGTTAATACAAGTGACATGTGTGATTAAATCACCATTCATCTATCTACCTCCTATTTGTCTGAGTATAAATATTTACAGCTTGAAATCTAATGGGTTTATGGAAACTATCTAAAGAAGAAAAAAATGCCATAGACAATGGCACAGTTTCTAATCAACTACTTTGTCGTCAGAGCTTGTCCAACAGTAATCCAGATAGCAAAGAGTGATCAAAAGATGAAACAAAATGAAGAAATTTGATAATTAACACAACATTTCCCTCTACAAGTAATTTGTAGGCCAACCAGATGAATCATGAAAAAGTAAAAGTAAACAGAAAAATATAAAGAAATATACAAAGGTGTTATTATTCATTAGTGATGAATAAAACAGCAGATTAGATATAACAAGAGTTAAGATACATCATGAACAACTCAAAACATGGCAAGTAAGTAGCAGGCTAGCAGTACATAATTCTATGCTAATCATCACTAAAAGCTAATAAAAAATAAGAAGTAGCGTGACTGGTGTATGGAGAAGCTGAAGCAATTAGGGAACACTTAACACTTTAACAACTCCCAAAGAAACCCCACTTGCGAGGGTAGGCAAAGCAATTAGGGAACATGTCAAAGCAAAAAAGACTTAGCTCTACTCAGTACTTGTTACTCAATGCTCGAAGCAAAATGTGTTCTAACCACCAATACACAATGAAAGTCTAATTTATGAATTCCATAGAAAAAACTGTCTCTCTCTGGCACCCATGCTTCTTTCTAGCAACAAAAGGAAGAAGAATCGATACATTAAGAGCTCTGCTCCACTGTTCCAAGTATACTAAATCTTTTATTAACCAACACAAAGTTCTACATTTTACAAAAATTAATCATAAAGGTCCCAATAAGAAATATACAAAGGTGTTATTCGCGAGAGAGGCAACTTCACCAAAGAAAGCCCTAAACTAACAGAACGAAAGAATAAATCGCATGAGTGAAAACGAAACCACATAAGAAAAATGCGGAATCCCAATTAAGCGTACAAAAATATAAACTGAAATTGTTACAAAAAGAACTATTAAGTTTTGCAATTGAGACATGAATAAGAAGCATATTGAAGGTAAATGTAGTAATGAAATCGAAATTGAGGCAAATTATGATGAAGCTTCGCTACTTACTCAAGCTCAGAATGAATTAATACATGGTCTTGGACGAGGCAGCAACCTTCTTCCTCTTGGTGCGGTAAAGAAGCTGACAGATTCCTACAAGGAGGATGTTAATAACCAATTCCTTTTCGAGCCATGAAGAAGCATTTCTCTGGATTTAGTGGTTATTGAGTACCTAATCGAATCGCTCATTACATTTCTTACTTGCCAAGATACTATACTTCGGCATCTGGTACGAAACCGTTTGGATTGTGGCTACATGTGAAACCTAATTTTCTGCATTCAGTGAGGTGCATAAACAAACAACATAGATTATCACACTGATAAAGAGAGAGAGTGTACCAAAGAAAAGACGATACCACGAGAGGCGAAAGAATCAGGACGCTAGAGAAGACGATAACATATGAAGCAGTAAAACCTAGCTTCGTTGGGGTTTGGGCTGGGTTGGATTTTATGCCAAGTCCGATTTAAGGCATTCTAATTCTCATGTAATTTAGTCAAATCCGGTACTTTTTTTCAAACAAGGCCCACCTAAAAATGTTTGTTCCAGTGACCAAGACAAACGCAGACCACTAAAAAAAAGTGAATTGGTACATAGAAAACGAAATAACATAAATACTAAATTTATTTTTTATGAAGGATGGTATATTTATATTTTCAAATAATTTAAAATAACAAAAATTGTGACAGTTTAAAACCTGCCAAAAGTTATATAATTTATTGGGAGGAGGGGGTGTTATATCATTTATTTGGGGGGTGTTGTTCCAAAATTCACTCATCTATAGTATAAAAAAATTTCAAATGGTCAATCCATCTCACCTCGTCCATCACAATCCATATTTACGCAGGGCAAGATGAATAGAGTTGGTGAATTATAGAGTTAGGACTCGTTTAGATGAATTTTTTTAATTAAAAGTTTCTTTTAAAAAAAAAACACTTCCATTATAAAATGCATTTGGATATTTACTTTTAAAAAAAGCAGAAGTCATAAAAAATAAAAAAGTAAAAACATGTTTATTTCATAAGCCAAGAAATTTAGCTTATCAGAAAAGCAAAAGTCAAAAATCAATTTTTTTTTCAAAAAAATGAATATTCTTTTAAAAATCTAGATAATTTTAAGTTTTAAAATAAGCTCGACATAAAAGTTACTATCTTCCACAATAGAATAATGTTAGCTTCGTATTTTCCAAGAATTTAGCAAATTAGTTCTCAGAGTTTGCTTCTGTAACAAGTAGAATCAGTAGTATATGTATCAAAGATAGTATCGTTCCCCCGGCCCCAAGAAATAGTGTATTGGTTTCTTTTATTTAATTCTCTCATAGCTTCTTGAATTTTAAGCAATTCACTTTTCAACTAAAATTTAATGGATTTATCATCTATCATTTAACATGACCACAAAAAATTTCCTACAACACAACATTTTGTGGGACCCGCAGCAAAAAAAAAAAAAAAACTTCGGCACGCAAAATGAATCTCTATAACATAACACAATCACTTTTCCTACAACATAACTCTTATAAAACCCAAATTTAATTACCACAAACTAAATTCAGTATTGATCATATAAAAGTAGATCCGGATCCTCTTACGTGAAAAATCAACATGACATGGTAAAGTGGAAATCATAATCATACAAAGGTGGATCAATGATAATAAAAGAGGAGAGAGACTAAATAGTAAAATAGATAGTTACAAAATCATAATCATTGATTTAACTTTGTATGGTTGTGATCTTCTCACATGACCGTGTCATGTTTTTTCTCACAGAGGATCCATTTCCTATAAAAGTACTCTAATTACATCTACAATAATTAATAATTGAATATCAACAGCTGGAATTCTGGAATCATTGGTTTTCCCTTTATTATTGCATTCCCGTGTTTTACTTGCTATGGCATTTTTCTTGATGAAATTCGAGTGCTGTGCCTGTAACGTTTTCTGGAATTTTCCCAAACCCAGGATCAAATTGATTCAAACCTGTCCCCTGACATTAAACCAAATTTGTTTGTGTATAATCTCACCTATCACTTCAAATCATCCTTGATCTTAAAGCATTCAATTAACAACATGCTTGTATCTTAATTTCTCAATCAAGATTCACGAAAAACAATCTCAAAGATAATTTCCACAGCCTTAAAACAAAAAGAAATTGTTAACTGAAAATCAAGACTAATTAATGGGCATAAACCAATTCATCCAGATTCCATGAAAAGAATTAGAAATACATGATTGTAGAAGCCTACACAAACAAACTCACAACAAGGATATAAATTGTCATTGCATAACCAAATTCAGAAACAGAAGAGTAAAAGTTAAAGAGGTACAGACCACAAATTCGATAACAGAGTTCAGAATTCTAAATGCTAAACAGAATTAAGATTGAAGATTGAAGCTTTTCAGAATCTTGGATCCCTCCAAGAAATGAGTCTTTGCCACGTGCTTGTTGTCCATCCTTCTTGATCATATCCAACTTTCATTAGCTTGCCACATCAGCCCATTGTTCACACTTATGCCTTCCTATGATGACAAAGTAGAAGAAATGTGAGGAAAATCACGAGTTTGCCATCCACCTATTAAAACAGTTTAGTGGGCCTGTTTTGTACACTCTTAGGACTTTTTCACCTGTTGTAAATCTCTTTCCTTTTTGTAAGATAATTCAAAAACTGCAATTGATTTAATAAGGGAATAAAGAAAAAGCAAATAAGAATAATATGTATGGAAATGAATGAAAGAGAATAAAAAGTTGCATACCGCCCACTAAACCATCATAACTGGAAGATTGTTTATTGCTTTGCTTCTCATCAGATCTTGGATGTTAAGGTTAAGCTACTTCCTGATTCTTTCTCCAATCCCTTCTGCAAGTCCATTTTCTTATCTGAATCCAAGTCCAGTTCCGGTAAAACACTGAGCAATTCTGAAACACTTATGAGGTGTACCCCACACTCTTTAACACGGATGGAACCATCAACTTCCCCCTTATCATTTGCAACTCGGAAGTTAAAACGAACTTTTGGTTCATTAGAATTGAGAATACTGTCACAATGGAATGGATCATACCATACATAAACATGATCCGACTTCAATTCCGTGATATCAGTCTTTAACCATGTAACCTTTGTACCTTCTGCCATGGCGCATTCACATCTTATTTTAGCGCCATGCTTCTTCATTCCATGGGCTGGAGAAAGAACCACAGAGTAAATGAAGCCCTGCAAGTTGGAACGGTGAGGAAGATTGATGGTAATGGATGACTCTGTTGTTGTATTATTGACCTGCCTTGGGACACTGCTTCCTGGTAAACAAACCTCAACACTGTTATAGTTGAATCTGTGGACGTCCACCCGAAATGTTCTTACTATGACATTGTCCAATGCTGCACTCATCATTGTTAAATGGAGGTTTTCCACAATACATTTGAGTGAATGTCCATCCAATTTCAAGCTGTTCTTGAAAGAAATGTGTTTGGTCTTTCCTAACATCTTTTTTGCCAAAGTCTTTAAATTTGACACGAACACCAATGACTTGCAGTTAACGGCATATAACTGTTTGATGAGGGGTGGAAGCTCTGGTAGGCACGGAAGCTCCCTGCAATTATCCAAGGACAGAATTTCAAGCTCTTGAAGATCCTTCATGCTTTCAGGCAAGCTTATCACATTGCTTCCATCTAGCCTTAATTCCTGTAATTCTGACAAGAACTTGATGTTGTCAGGGATTTCAAATAAGTTATTAATACAACCCTTCAAATGTAGTATTTGTAGAGATCGTAAGCCATCAAACAGATGATGTAGCTTCTGTTTGTCAATTACCAGTCCACTGTCAGAAAGCTTCAGCTCCCTAAGACATTTCAAGCAAGATAACTCCGTTGGAAGATGCCCGAGTCTTAAACCCTCTAGGTTTAGCCATTTAAGATTCTTTGAAAGCCCAATTGATGTGTCCAGTCTTTGGATTCCTGTATTGCTTAGATCCAAGTTCTCTAGTAATTCCGAAGACACTGCAAATTCCTTCAGACTTAAGCAGCCATTGACACTGATTGTCTCCAGAGACTTTAAATGCTTCTTGCCTTTAACACTATATAGCCTTGTACACTTATCCAGTAACAAAGTAACAAGTGTATCGGCCGATAAAACAGAATCATGAAGATCACACAAACTCTCACAACCGGAGAGATTCACCCATTTAAGTCTTGAAGCCTTAGACAAATCCGGAAGGAATAAAAACTGTTTGCATTCACTTAGGTCAATTCCCTCCAAATTATCAAGTTCCTGTAACAATCCAATAGAAGACATCAAAATGAAAAATCCTTTTGAAAAAAAAAATTATGGTAAGCATAAGTACGTTTACATCTTTACCTGTGTCCCCTGCCAAAGTTGTTTAACATTACTGTGCGGCATGCGAATCTCCACAAGCAAATTAGCACGAAAAGGTGATGGAAGAGACTCAAATGGGTATCCAGTCCACTCAACATACCTCAGTTTGTCAGAAAATGGCTTAAGAACTGTAGGAAGGTCGATGTATGTATTATTAGAACGTATCTGACCCGAAGGAATATATAATTTAAGAAATCTTAAGGCTTCCATCTTTGTGAATGTGTCAATAGGCAAACGCAAATCTTTAATTTGAGACAAATCTAATGTTATGCCTTCAATTGCATCAGTCCCCTGACAAAACACCAAAAGTAAAAACGATATCAGGTTAGCTACTATTTCTATATAAAAACATGTCTTGAAAAAGGTCTGTGCTTCTTTTCCGTACCTTGTTTTTCTCAATTACTTCACGAGCTTCACTATCCCTCAATCGGCTACGTCTTCCGGGATTATTTTCATCTTCTTTGCGTACTATTTCCAAACCCATTATTTGTAGCAAGTTGTGCATTTGTATTCCATTGCTATGTGAAATAGTTATCAAAGCTTTGTCTTCAAGGACTTCTAATCCGCTACTTGCTTCGAAACCACAGGCATCTAGAATTGATTGGACATGATCTTTCTCTTTTCCTTGGAAAAAAAATGCTATGTCTCGAAAAATCTTCTTCTGTAGAGCATCTAATCCATCATCATAGCTCACTCTTAACACGCTTTGAATTTTCTTATCAGGATAATCGTTGAGTTTTCTGAGAGTACTTTTCCAAAATTTAGCACTTTTCAAATGAAGATATGAACCCAAAACTTCAAGAGCTAATGGAACTCCCCCTGCATAATCAACTGCCATTTTTGAGAGATCCTCAAAACCACTTTGGGGTTTGCTTTGTTTGAAGGCTTTTGAGCAAAAAAACTTCAGAGATTCTGTACGCTCCCATTCCTCGACCCCGTATATGAAATCAACTCTTCCATGAAGCAATTGCCGATCTCTTGTTGTTATAATGAGTCTACTATCGGGACTTAAGTAACGGTACTCTTTACACAAATATTCAATTTGGTCTAAATTATCCATGTCATCAAGTACTATGAAAACTTTTTTGCCAGTGAGCCTCCTCATGTTGAATGAGGATCCTACAACATTAGATGAGGAAATTTCTTCCTTGAATAGCTCAAAGTGAAGCTTACTAGGGGAAAATTCTCTTGCATTGTCCACAAAGCAGATATTGTCATATTGGGGAAAGAGTTTGGCAAACAAGACTTTAGCAATGGTCGTCTTACCTACCCCGCCCATGCCCCAAATTCCAATTTTTCGAATTATTTTCATTAATGATTCAACATTGCTACAATTTTTTTCAATTACAATGCCTTTCAGTTCTCTAGGTTTCCTCAATTCCAGTTTTTGCAATACATCATTGACAATGTTCTCGATGAGTTGAGGCTCTTCCCTAGCATATATGAACAAAAAATAGACAAGAGGAAATATTAATTAAATTTATCACGAACAAAACTCACTACAAAAATTATTAGGGAAAAGTTCAAAAATTTCATGGTGGTTTACTTTTTGGAAAATGATAGTCTCATGCTGCATAAGATATCTATAGATATCTCATGTCATACACCCATAGAATTTTGTGCTAATTTTTTTTCTTTTTTATTTTTATTTTAAATTATGGACCCCTTATATTTGTATCACTCACATGAGAGTACTATTTCATGTAATATGAGATTAGTAAACCCCTTATTTTTTTTTATCATTTATCCCTGTATGGTTTTTCTTATTACTTATCCTCTAATAATTTTTTTCATCCAAATCCACTTTTAACACCGTTAAAATTTAAATTAATTTGTCCATATTATCCCTCTCACCCCCAAGAAATCTCATTTACAACTCTGGAACTGTTCATCTAAACCTCCTACGTGGCAAGCACGTCCCTCCAAAGTTATGTAACAACATCCTATGTTCTTTTATCCTTTGTTTCGCTAACTAATTAACTGTTTTTATTGTGAATAGAAAGACGGAGATAGCAAAGCATAGCAAAGGGGAGAATAGATCACAATATAGGATTAAAAGGCGAAAATAGTATATCACAGCTAGCACAATTGTGTTAGGCACTTTTCCCTTCCTTTGTAATGGCTATAAATGCTACACAACTTCAACCATGAATGAGATAGTACATATTTTCTCTCTAATTCTTCTGCCTGTTGGATAGTTCTAACTTACCCTTAATTGTTCCTTAAGCTCAATGCATTTGTTTGAATGAATTTTTTTTAAAGTTCTAATACAGTTTTAACTAAAAGCAATATATGTTTTTGAGGCCTACTTTTAACAGAAGTTACGGTGCTTAATCAAAATTTGGTCTAAGCACAAATTACAATGGCTATTCTACCACAATTTGGCTTATAGACAGATGGAACAACTCACAGGAAGTTAAACAATCATTGATGCAATCTGAGTTGAAGATATGGGTGTAAATGACACTTTTAGGGGGTCAAATAGGGGTAAAATGGACAAATTAACTTAAATTTTAATGGTATTAAAGATGAACTTGGATAGAAAAAAATCATAAAAGATAAATGATAAAAGAGTAAATCACAAAGGTTTTTTTTTTGAACTTTTCTCAAACTAATATTATCTACTACCACACTACAAGAAGAATTTAATTTTAATGGACTTTACATAAAAAGAATTAAACATATTCTTTTTAGTACATCTTATTATCATATTTATTTGATAATAAAGTTTTTGTTTTTTTAAACTTGGGGAGAATGAGAAATGCATATTGAAGGACCAAATACCAATCACGTAACTACATTCCGTTGATCACAAGGGGAGATACACGTTGAACAACATTCTACCAGCTGTAACCATTTGTCAAAAAATTATTTATAATAAAAACTATTTCGAAGACTATGTTTTTTTATTGATTTTATTTTATCCTATTGGATAAGGATTCATGTTGGATCTGCAGATTAACGATGTTTATAAAAAAAACAACCGCGTGTGTGGTGACAAATCATTGTACGCTACAATAGGCTTCCCCCTTTTCATATGAACGTTTTTTCATTGTTATTTTTATTTTTATTATTTTAACCAATGTTATCGTTATTTCTTGTTCTCATTTGCTATTACTATTACTAACCTCTAACCAATCCAATATTCTCCCTTTTCATAACCATTACTTGACTAACCCCTCTCTCCATCTACTTCCCACTCTAAACGAATCAAATTCATTATTATTAATTTATTACTAATATTCTCCACCACTCATTTCAATTATATATCATTAACATTTCATCTACACATTTTATATAGGATAATATTTTTTTCAAGTTGGTGGATGTCCATTTAGAAATCATAACCATATAAAGGTAAGTGAAAGCATTAAATATGGGAGATAAATGAGAATCAACAATCAAGATTACTAGCTGGATATTCAACAACATCAGAAATGTTTTTACCTTTTATATAACTATGTTTAACTGGAAAATTTTATCCACAATTTTTATTCTAAAAGTATCCCACATTAAATTATTATTATTATTATTATTATTAATAACAAATATTTCATAACTCTAAAAATTCATAAATCAAATATGAATGCTTCCTTCTTTTTTGATAAACGAATGCTTCCTGTTTACCTCAAAAATAGGAAGTAATAATAACATAACAATAATCATAAGCCTTAATAAGCTAAAAGCTATCCATATGTAATTTTGATTTAAAATTTATTTTCATTTAAATTTGGTTTTAAAATCAATTTTTATTTGAAATTGATTTTGAACCATTAAGAGTGTGCATGACAACTATTATGTTTCCTGTTACTGTTTTTTAAAAGATACAATTCTTTTTTATTTCTGTGCTTTGGAATGATTTCAAAAAAAAATGTATTTGATAACATGTTTTATTTTTATTCCGAGACTGAGAATTGCATTTGATAACACAACAAATAATAGAATAAAAAATATTCATATTATGCATAATTTTTTTTCCTATTAAGCATAATTTTTTTTTTGGATTATCACTTTTCTTTTCACATGGTGTGGTGGTGGTGGTGGTTGTGACATGGTGGCAGCATTAGTGGTGGTAGTGGTAACGATGATGTTGACGATGGTGGGGGAATGACGACAGTGGCTGTAGGATGGTGACGGTGGTGGTGGTGGTGGTGGTGACAGTAGCATGGTGGTAGTGATGGTGGAGATGACATGGATGTGGTGGTAATGGTGGCAGTGACATGGAGGTGGTGGTCGTGGCAATGACAGTGGCGTGGTGGTGGTGGTGGTGATGGCAGTGGCTGCAGCGGTGATCGTTGTGGTTGGTGACGGTGGTGGTAGTGATAGTAGTGGTGACGGTGGTGGTGGTGGTGATGGCATAGTGGGAGTGGTGGTAGTGATGGCAGTGGCTGCGGCGATAGTAGTGGTGGTTAGTGACGATGGTGCTGACGGTGATAGTAGTGGTGGTGTGACGTAGCATAGTGGTAGTGAATAGTGATAGTGGTGATTACGACAGTGGTGGTACGACGACGGCGGCAACGATGGTGGCGGTGGTCGTGTCGAGATGGTGGTGGTGATGATGATAGTGGTGAAGGGTGATTGAGAAAGAAAAATATTTCTCATTTTGTGTATAGGAAAAAAAAAAAAAAAAAAAAATTTGTTCGCCAACACATAAATTAATTAATTTTGTCAAATACTATTTCTATCCGCTCCTATTTCAGGTAACAAAAATTGAAAAAAAAAAAATCTTGAAATGTTAACAAAATGTTTTTGAAACCGGTTTTAAACAACTTAGGAAAAAATAAAACTGAATTTGAAAAGAAGGAAACCTCCATTCCAAACACATCCCCACGTGTAAATGGATCAACCTCATCTCATACAGCGAAAACGGGGCCATTATATTGTTCCATAACAGATTTATTACGAGATAATTAAATGAAAATGCAAAATATATTATATTGGCTGCAAAAGTTAGATAGATAGAGAGAGAGAGAGAGAAAAAGACATTACATATAGTTTCGTGAGTCCCATCCAGATATATTGGCTGCTTCAGTGAGAGCAGTTCTCCACCTATGTACTCTTTGTTTGTTGGATTCCCTGTCTTTGTCCCCAAAATCTCGCTCATGTTTGGCGAATGCTATCTCGTAACTACCCTTCTGTTGCCTGACGTGTGATGGATCCGTGTGATAGAAAACAGGTAAAACAACTTGACCATGACATTTTCTCCATTGGAGTATTTTGTCGAGTTCTTCCAAGCACCATTTCGAGGTAGCATAATTTTCTGAGAAAATAACAACCGATATATGCGAGTCCTCGATTGCTTGGGAAAGCTTTGGCCAAACATCTTCTCCTCTTTGAAGATTATAATCTATGAATGTTCTGATTAGTTTGACCTTATTCAGAGCATTGTGAAGATGGCTAACGAAGGTGGTACGGATGTCCTCTCCTCTAAAGCTAAGAAATACGTCATGCATTTTGGTAGAGGAAGACATACCCAAATTATTGATGGCAAGTGCAAAGAATGAACATCATTTTCTTCTTTTATAGGCTTGGACTTGGAGTCGTCCACCTCTCTCGATCTGTTAAAGTTATAATAATTCAAAGTAGATGGAATAAATTAAAAGTAAATATCACGTATAAAAATAAAAATATTACAATATTGGTAAATATAATATTTGTTTTACATATACGAGGCAAAGATATTATTACCCAATAAGAAATATTACACATATTTATGATCTTTAATATTTTTACATAAAACTAACTTTTCAAGGATTATTAGGAAAATTATTACATTTTGATTACATTTAACTTATATTTTTGTGTATAAGTATCATCAAAGATTTATAAAAATATAGAATAAAAGAAATAAATTATGAAAGATTTATTTTGTATAGAATGTTTTATAAAAATATTAGATATTTGTTTTATAAAATAATTTTGAATACATTGAATCCAATTAAAAATAATTTCTTTTTTTTTTGGTATGCAAAAATAATTTCTTTTATTATAACTTTTCATTGTATGCAGGATAATTTTATTTTTTTTGTATAACAAAAAGTTTAGGTGGGGATAGACGCCGGTACCCCACCAGGGTCAAGGAAGACCCAACCTCTTTGAGAATTTTCGATAGGGATTACATATCACCCACCAAAGAGGCCCTCACATCAGCTAGCGGGGTTCGAATTGTCATCCTTTAACCCATGGTAAACAATAGAGTAAAATATTTTTTGGGTCCTCAACAAAGATCAAGGGATCTAATTTAATTCCTTAAAAAAAGTCGACTCGTGGTCCTTCTGAAAATCAAAATAGACTCATGTTAGTTCTTTTGAGAGAATAATATAGATCTTCTTTGAGTTTTAAAGGAACCATGATTTCGACTAACTTAATCTATTTTAAATTTCTGAGGGACCACGAGTCAAAAAAATTTTAAGGGATTAAAATGAGCCCTATAATTTTTGTTGAGGACCCATAAAATATTTACCTTAAATAATATTATTGTGAGCAAGAATTTTTACCCTATCCAACATGGGCTAAAGCTTAATGTTTTAGAGCTTTAATTATATAATTAAGGATGAGGGCTAAATAATGAGACGCCGTCATGTGATTTTGCTGTTTTATATTTTCTAGTGATTCATTTTAGTTTCTATTTATATCTCATCTTTCTTTCTAGAGAATACAATTCAGACTAGAGAATAGAATTCAAATAAATTGTAATTCTATATTCGATAGAATTATAGAAGATTTTTATAAATATTTGAATTCTATTAATATTTATTAAACATTAATATACCTCTTCTTATTAAGAAAAAGTAATTCGAATAAATTCTATTTTATATGTCTATGCGTTAATAATAGTATTTTGTACCTGAACTCGTGGGTGGTTGAATTAAAAAAAATTCTGGAGATGTTTATTTTTTTGGAGAGATGGATAAGATATACTGGCACAGTGCCATTTTGATACCACATGAAAAAAACATTTTTTTCAAAAAAAAAAATTTTAAAAAAAGAAGAAGGATATTGTAACAACCAAGTTGTGTTACTAGCATAAATCCATAATCTCCACTGCTACAGGAATATCATTTAGTTGACATGTACCTGTTTGAACAGCCTCAGCTAATCCTTTTTTTCTTTGATGAAGGTCTATCTATTTTATTTAGTTATTCAGTTAAACCAATTATTCGTTATTGGAGCAGATAGCAACAACCATCTCATCCGGGAAAACCAGGGAAAGACACATTTAAGGATGAGGAATTAACATACTGATTCACCATCTTGTCCTCTCTATACACCGGAGCCCTTTATTTAATCTTGATTTAATCAATGTTATTGTTAATTTGTACAGTTCACACTCTTTAGCTCTACCCATGTTACTACCAATCAATCTCACCGTTAGATCGATTATGTTGATCCAAGAGTTATATTTATTTTCATCTTTGTATGGTCATGATTTTCCAAATTTAATACTTTATATTTATTTTCACCTTTGTATGGTTATGACTTTCCATATTTAATGCTTTCACTTTAAATATGGAGAATCATAACCATACAAAGATGGAAATAAATGTAACCGTTGGATCAACATAATCGATCTAACGGTGAGATTGATTGGTAGTAACATAGTAGTGACACAACTTAGTTGTTACAATATCATTTCCCTTTAAAAAATGAACATTCTTTTATTTTAAATTTCGATTCATTGTGATAAATGATCTTTTGTGTTTTCATAAAAAGAAATAATTCCTTCAAATCTTTAAATATCAGAGTCAATGGTATGTATAAGTTCCAGCTACACCTTATCTACTCTTAGATTTGAACCAATAACTCCCACGAAAGCAATACTCTATCCACTGAGTTATTTTAAAATATTTTTTGAATTTTTAATTACTCATGATTCATAATCGTTTAATTTTTTTTTACGTAACTTTTGTCCGAACCTTATTGAAGTCTATAAATTTGATTTAGTCCAGTGAAAAAATAAAAATAATTTGTTGACTAAATCTCTAATGTCTCTGTATAATCATTTGTATAATTTTATTTCACTTTCATTGAAAACACGCGCGCCTGGTGGGCTTTTTAATATAAAAATGCTGTTTTTTATTATTTAACACGAAGGTAACTATTGAAATTTGATATTCAAAATACTATTTTTTATTAAAAAAAACTTTTTAGATATTAACCTTAATGCAAAAATAAATTTGACTTTTAAAAATAATGCATATTCTTTTTTTAACAATTTATCCAAGCGAGTTTTAACATATTATTATTTATGATTAACCTTTTTTTTTTAGTGTCATTTCTACACCTACTCCATATATATCTATTTTTCAAAATCAAATTAACTTTATTTTTCTCTTATTCTTTGTCATTTTAAATGACACAGTTTTCTGTCATTTTAAAAACCTGTTTGACACATTTATTTTTTAAGTTAAAAACTACTTTTAATCTAATATTAAGAAAAATTATTAAAAGATTAAACTAAAAATTATTTGATGATTATTAAAGTTGTTTCGATGATTTTAAAATAAGAAATATGAAATAATTTGTTATTATTATGGATTATTAGGATAAAGAATAAAATTTATAAATACAAATTTAGAATAAGAGTAAAACTATAAAAGAAATATAATAATTATAAAAATATGGTTTACATCATAAAAGAAGCTCCTAGTAGGAGTTTGGAACTTGATATTTTAGTTTTTTCCTTCGTTATAAAAAAAAGCTCTTTTTATAATAGAGTTTTTATAAAATTATTGGTTAAGCTTATGTTTTTAAGAAGAAGATAAGTTAAAAATAAGTCATGCCAAATAAACACTAACTAAAACCATCGTGTTTTGGTGTATTTCTGTTGACCTTTTCCATTCTTTCTCATTTACATTATAATATTTTCAATGAAACTTTTTTTTAATTTGTTTTTATATGAAAAACTATTTATTTCTTAGATTTATATTTTTTTTTTTTGGTGAAGGTCTTAGATTTCTATTTTGATTCTTATTGTTTATTAGTATTCTAACATTCTCTGTTAAAGTAATAATAATATAAAGTAGATTGCATAAATTTAAAAAATATTGCGTATATATAAAAACAAAATTATTACAATGTTGGTAGCGAAATTTATAAGTTCTATAAATATTATTTTTCAATTTAGTTTATATAATTTGTAATCACACCGTATTAATCTTTTTTTTTTTTGTAATACCGTATTAATCTCTTTTTGCTATAACAATGACGTCTAAGTGTAAGGACAAATTTTGTAAATAATTAAACTTATAGAACTAAATTAATAACTATTTTGTATAAAAATTAAATTATAAATAAGGGGAAGGATATTATAACAACCAAGTAGTGTTATTACCAATGTTACTACCAATCAATCTCACTGTTAGATTGATTATGTTGATCCAACAGTTATTTTTATTTTTATCTTTGTATGGTCATGATTTCTCAAATTTAATACTTTATATTTATTTACACCTTTTTCTGGTTATGATTTTTCATATTTAATGTTTTCCCTTTAAATATGGAAAATCATGATCATACAAAGATAGAAATAAATATAACTGTTGGATCGACATAATCGATCTAACAGTGAGATTGATTGGTAGTAATATTGATAATAATACAACTTGATTGTTACAATATCTTTTTCTTATAAATAGATGTTATATGTTTAAAACTTTTTCCTTATAAGTAACAAAAATATGTTTAAAACTTCTTTTACCAAAATAACACAGATGCAAATCGGGCATTTTTTCTTCTTTATACATATCAAATATATAGGTAAAAATCTCTGAATATTTATTAAAAAAGATGTAAGCGCAAAATTTTCATATGATAAAACTATGTGAAATTTTAACATTGAAAAGTATCATTCATGAAAAAAGAGTCTTCCCTTTTTCTTTTCTTTTTGAATGTGAAGCCTTGTGTCTTGCCTCTACTAATTTTATAAGTGTTGATCTTTTTCTTTTTTTTTCCTTTCTCCCCTTATTTTAGCATTCATATATCTAATCAAATTCATTTCAGTGTAATAGATAACAAAATTGGTGATTTGGATAATAGGCTGAATCCATTTATATAATATTAAAATGAAGGAAAGTGAATATAATTAAGCAAATAAATGAAAATGAACACATCAATGAGGAAGAAAACTAAAAAGATTAAAATCAGGTTTACCGAAAAAAAAAAGATTAAAATGGAACTAATACGAATGTTAGGAATAAAATAAAAAATAATAATTTTCAGAGAAAAAATAAATAAAAAAATGTACGAACAACATAATTTTTTCTCTTAATTATAAGCAGTGTTTTAAAACCTCACCTCGTCTCCCGGGTCAACCCTGACCCTTCCCCTTTGAGGGTTGGGGTCACAAGTTGGACCCTATGTGCATATCGACTCCTCCGACCCCCAAAATCCAGCCGTGTTTCAGTGATTCCCGGGTCAGAGGGGTCAAAAGAGGTCACTGCGTATTTTTTTTAAAAAAAAAATTCCATGA